CCATTTTAATTTTCTAATAAAATAAATTTGGAGGGTAATTCACTGAATTGTGCATAATCAAACCCCCTTTGTTGTACATTTTAATCTACCTGAATAAGTGTTTTTATTGTTTGTAGATAACATCGAGACCATAAACCTGGGGTTTTAATTGGTGCAAAAAAGGCATGGCAGAAGACAAATTAAAGCCAGGGACATAAAGGCCTAGATGTATTTATTACTAAAATTAGAAAGGAGACTGAGAATTATACTGGGATAGAATTTCATAACTGGAGATATGAATATATCAAAAAAATATTTACCTTCGATCGTTCTTGGATGCTACAGTGAGCTGTTATGGCTGGGGGACTGCTTAAGTGTAGAAGCTACTCATACGTGTGTTCTGGGGGGTGGAGTAACAAACAACTGGGACTGGAACCGCTCCCATGTTCCTCAAGCAGCCAATAGAATTTAACAAAAACTTGATGCCTACAAGAGAATGACAAACAAAATTAATTTTTGACATACAGTTAAAATTGAAAAAAGTTGTTGAGGCGACTAATCGAACAGATGAAATTGGGCACCAGGCACGTTTGAAACCGTGAAAAGACGGGTGAAATCTAATCTATTAGTGTGTCGGCTACCCATTTTCTGGAAAAAATATGATTTCGCACGGAAATAAAATTCATGTGAGAGAAACCTCACCATTCTATCACCAAATTCGCAAACCGCTTAAATAAACGGGCTGTTGCGGGACAGCGGCTGAGAAGATAAGAATTGGGGTGTTTAGGTGATTCGTCTCTCTGAGAAAGCAGCTAAAATTATAGCCTACATCAAATGCAAAGAGAAGAAACATATCAGAGACAGTATTAAAAAAACCTGAAAACAGTTAAACACAAACTTTTATCAAAGGGTAGACAACTCCATGAACATCTGAAATACAAGAAGACACAACTCTACAATATCATATTACAGGAAAGGTCAGTTGGATCTAACACCATCAACACCCAAGGGGAGGCAACAGCAACCATACTTACTCAGAAATCTATAAATTATCTCCCTTGATATAAACAGATAAACAAAAACAGTGTTTCTTCAGTGAGGAATAAATATTCGTTTGCGCACGAGACAACTTATCTTAAACAAATGGTGCTGTCTGTGTACAGACCTGAAATTTAAACTTAACAAATGGTTTACTTAAAAAGTGAGACTGACCTATTCCTTTTTTAAAGGCGAATTTCATATTTCATTACTGTATCATTCAAACAAACCTGCATTGATATTTTGAAATTGTTATCATCTTGTTGTTATTTTACACTGTGAAATAAAAAATGTTATATTTTAATTAATTAAATCACAGGCTTTTAGCATTTCTTTGGCAATGCCAGAGTGCTTTTAAGTAAAATTTCCAAAAGGTTTTCATGGGCTATGGCTGTTTATTAAAAGCAAAAATTATTCAAAGTCTAGGCAACTTGTGAACTGACCAATTTTTACTTGAATACACTGTTATTGCTTAACAAGGTAAAAAGAATTGGGAGCAGGAAACATAACCTTTGTAGGATTAATAATAGGAGTCCTTTTAAATGGTTAGGCAATATAAGGAAATATGCAATCAGAATAAATGAAAGACACGTAAGCACTCACCAACCTTTATCCCGAGGCCATCAACACCTTAAATATGTCTCTTAAACAAAGCGATTACTCACCTCAAACAAAATAAACAGTCTCGGTATACCCCATGGCTGCAGCAAATGGCCCGGTTCACACTTAAGCAACTTAAGCCTTTCGGTATTGATGCAATGGGGCTCAAATGGTTAGCACCGACACACAGTGGCACATGGCACAGGTGCGAGACCTCTAAATCTGGTTCAACATACAGAATTTTATTGTGAACCAGGTAAAGAAGTTTATGAACATGCATGGTGTGCCACTGTGCATCAGGAAACTTGGAATAATAATAATACCATAGCCCACTGGTCCTTTCTTTTTATACACCCCTGCCCTATCATACAGCCCTGTCTGTTTAGCACAGATTTTTCATTGATTTTTTTCTAAATAATTTTTAAAAAATGCTTCCATTTTTAACTTTTATTTTAAAGGGAGGCTGTAACCTGTACAGGAATGAAACCTCCTTGGCAATATATTTAAACAGAATTTCTAAACTGAAAGTAGCTTTTTGAGATTTTTTAAAAAAAATGTATATAATTATATATAAAATTACATTAAAGTACAAATAGAAAATAAAAGCAACTTTTGTATTTAATTTTAGCAAACTCGATTTAATAACATCAATTATCTGCTTCATGACCAAGTTTCCATTAAAATTGCTCTAAAAATGATAAGTTTGAATTACCTTGTCAAAACAGATTTAACTCCATTAAAAACCAAGCTTCTAATCAGGCCTTAGACCACAATTAATTTACTATATTGTTCTATATAAAAATTAAAAACCTGTGGCCCAATTCATTTTCTAACTCTCCAATCAATCAAAGTCACTTGTGCTTACTGTACCATCCAAGATAAATAATTCTAGCTATAGCAAACTAGGGGTCATTCATCATTTTTTCACAGCATTTTCAGTTCAAAATACATCAGTCTGACAGTTTTCAGTAATTAGCCGGAACCATTGTGAGTTTCTGTCATGTAGAAAAAACACTAAAAAAAAATACTTACTCGCATAAAATCTGGATCAAAATTGGCATTTACCAAACTATTTGAAATGAATTCTGTCAGGAAATGGCCTTTTTTCTATCTCTTTCATTCAAATTATTCATTTATATCTGGCATTAAACACAGGCACTCTTTTATGCGGATTTACTTCCTTATTGTGGTCAACGAAAGGCAAATAACTGTGGACTGATTCCATATCCGGGGTCTAAACCAGTAGTGACGGCGTGGCCGAGTGGTTAACGCGTCGGACTAGTAATCTAAGGATTGCTGACCGCGTGGGTTCAAACCCTGTCAGGGGCAAGCCGTTGTTTCCTTGAGCAAGAAACTTTACATTCATTGCTTAGTACTGGTTGGTTCCAGGAACGGATTCGAGAGTGTTTCAATAAGCTTATAGCTTCCAACACAATCGAACTAAAATAAATTTGTATAAACTAAACTAAACCAGGAGTAGAGTCACCGTACCAGTGCTCAACCAGTTTTTCACAAAATCACATAAAAACTCTTTCAAACAAAAGGTTTGCTGGGAAACTTATTTTTGTTACAAAGCTGGACCTTTCAAACTCACAATAAGCTAAAGCGTTTTAATAACACAGATTAGGATACAATTTACCACGGAGTTGGATATAGGGTATAAAACCACTATATTTTTCAGACAAACAAACCAGTGCTCGACCAGGTGGTTTTATCTCTATCAGAACTTTTATTTCTTAAAAACAGATATGACTTTTTATGTTCAACAATTCTATTTTAAAAAATATTTTGAAACATTTATGTTTTATTGTCTATAGATGAAAATATGATAGCAAATATGATACAAAGGAAATGCTATACATTGACAAATAAAGTGTTTATAAGAGTTTTGGAATTTACATATACTGGGGCGTTTGAGATTACTTATTCTCATTTTTTTTTACTAAAATCACTCTGCAAACATAGTTAAGTGTGATAATTGGTGTAATATACAAATGGTCTACGCTTTTAGTGGTGTGTTCCCGATTTGTTTCCGTACGGATGCCATATTTGTTTACATGTTCATAGCCCTTGCCTTTTATGGAAAGCAGGGTTTTGATAATTGTTGAACACCTTTCCTATGGAAATCAATTGGAATCATAAAAGTAAAGGCAATTTAACAAATATTGTCCACATTTGCCCTAAATTATCATTTTTTCAGTGTTTTAGATAGTTTTTACTGCTACTTTTATTATAAAATTGTATTTTTGTACTGTTTAATATTGTCTGCAAAATGGCCTATCTTCTACCAAACTTGGAGTACTTGTACATGGTGTAGAGGTTACAGGTCAGGTACAAAGAGCAAGCACAAACTCACAGGGTTTTTCCACTTTAATGCATAAATCATACACAAATAGAAGTATTGGTCGAGCACTGGGCTGGTCGAGCATAGGTACTGTGACTCTACATATAAGGTTCATTCCGTTTTCTTTAGTGTATTATAAACAAGTTTTACTCCTGAAAAATACATAGGGGTCTTAACCAGGAGATTGCCAGATTTTTTTTTTACAATTTTCAACTTGTGTCGCATGTAACTCAAAAAAAGGATTTGACGCATGTAACTCAAAAAGGATTTGACATAGAGTCAAGAAACCTAAAAAGGGAATGTTTCTCAGCATATGTAGTTGTGCACCTTTGGTTTTTCTTGTGGATTAATCCAGTATTTGTAGAGTTAAATATTGCCCTTGACTTAGTAAAAAACTGTTTTATTATGTTGTGTTATTTGTTCCTTGAGTGCTTGAGTTAGAATCAACCAACTTTACTGGAATAATGATCAACATCACTAAATTACAGGAATAATGATCAACATCACATTGTGAAGGTACAATGTATGCACTTGGGACTTTGCATGTGGATTTTTTTCAGTTTTGTTAGAGTTATTGCCCTTGACTTACAATAGTATAAATTTGCAATTTTCAACTTGTTCATGCATAGCTCAAAAAGTATTTGAATTGAAGGCCTGAAAGTTTACAAGAATGTTGGTCAGCATGTGTACTTATGCACCTTGGGGTTTGCTTGTAGATTTATTCAGCATTTGTAAAGTTCTTGCTTTTTATTTAGTAAAAGATTTTTAGTTTTCAACTTGTGGCACATCTAGTCAAAATCTTTTTGACTTAGAGTCATAAGATTGCCTTAGTGACTTCTATACTGTTCACAATGCAACACATCTGACTCGCTGAGTGCTAGTTTTTTCAAACAACTGAAATGCAATTTGTTAAGGTTTCAATTTATTTGGGAAGATTTTGATTGTGTAATTATGCAAATACTCATCTTGTCTGAAACTGTTCAGACATGTCCCAATGTGGCCAAATTAATATCTATACTTACATGTATGTGAGAACCATTTCTAACAACGAATCTCGGATGACCAATCTGTGGCCAACATGGCTCTCTAGTAATAGTAGCAATGCCTTCATTGTAAGTCAATGTTCATGTTCCCTTAACTGGGGCCAGCAAAGTTCATGTTCCCTTAACTGGGGCCGGCTTTCCAGGCATACAAGTGTTTGTGTTCAGTCATAGTTAATGTTGGTTTTCCTTGGTTTCATACAAATTGTAGTTAAAAATATTTCTTTTTTTCTAGAAATCAAGATGGCACATGAGATACATTTAAAGAACAAAAAATACCGGCAGTGGGTTAAGGCTGGCCTAGGCTTGGGTTATCTTAAAGAGGGACTTGCGCCATTTTGTGATGACATAGGAAGACAGCAGCACAACTATATTATAAACCAAATACAACAAACAAAGACTCCTCAACCAAATGTACCGTGTGGAGTCTGTCAGATAACAACTCTCCAGCCAGACCATGTTCGAGTCTCAAAAGGGATATGTCCCCTCAAGCAAGATAAATGTAACTGTTGCTTTCCAAATAATAAGAAACCATGTCCAAACAATGTATGTGGTGCCATCTATGACAGCATTATACAGAATCATGCGTCAATACCACCGGCACCTTTTTGGAAAAACAGTGATGTCCAACAGTGGTCAACAGACCTGTGGAGTATTAGTAAATGTTTTATTAATGCTCCTGGGTACAAGGACAAACCATCAGCAGTCGATACCGACTGCACAGGGTTGCTTCATGTTATCATAAATAACACATATTTTCATAGTCATATTGGATGCAATATTACAGGACCAAACAATCTTTTTTCAAAGGTAATACATTTGTACCAGGAATGTCCGGAAAGTTCATATCCTTTTTCATTTTTTTTGAAAAAGGCGACATATAGGGGTTACTTTTGTTCGGTGCTGTCGGCGGCAGCGTCGGTCCCTAAGGCTTGTCTGGAGCATAACTCAGTCACTATAAGTCGGATTTACTCCAAACTTGGTATGCATGCTTCTTTCAATGACTCAAAGTGCAGTGCACAAGAATCTCTACCCTCGGCTCCACATCTTAATTTTTGAGTAATTGCCCTTTGTTTATTTTCATACTTTATTTTTGTCCGGGCCATTTATCTTAAACAATAAAAGCTATGGACTTAATGAATCTTCATAGGATGATAAATCTCATTAAGAAGAAGTGCAATACACAAGAACCGGTACTCTGCACTTCTTATTTTTTGAGTTATTGTCCTTTGTTAATTTTCATACTTTATTATTGTCCGGGCCATTCCTCCTAAACTAATTATAAGCTATGGACTTAAAACTTCATAGGATGATAGATATTACAGTGCTCTGTCTTGAATTTGGCGTCATTTTTGCAGCACAAAACTTACACACCTTCATTGCCTATAATTGTCGTTAACAAGCTGTTTATTTGTGTATGACATCATAATTTTCACTAAATATCGTGTAATAGTATCCTTTGATGTCACAAAATTGAAACGAGAGGTTGCGTTAAAATTAAAACTTTAGCAACTTATTATTTGAGTAGCTATCCTCATGAAATCAAAGTGCTCAGTAATTTGTCGATCATGTTGCCATGGTGATTGGCGCTTTGCAAAAATTGCTTTTATCATGTTTTTTAATTCATAAGTATGTAGCAGAATAAATACTTAAACAAAATATTCAATCATGACATATTGATATGACTGTTTATAATATTTTTATAGTCTTGTCTATGAACTTTCCGGACAACCCTCGTATACAGTATGTTTATTTTTAATTTTGTAGAATATTATACTGTATGATTTAGTCTGTTTATTATAAGTATAAAAGTATAAGAGATTATAGTTACTTTTTTGCAGTTATTGGTTAACTTTTCTTTAATTTTTATAGGGATTAACCTATTACCGCACTAAGGTGAAATTATGCTATATAACTATGAGGCTAATGCAGTTTTTTTTTTGCCAGAGAAACAGTTTGCAACAAATGAATAATGATTCAAAATTGTTATGCATAAAATTGTATTCACAAATTGTGATTGAAGTATTTTAAAGTAACTCTTTTAACGGTTTTAATTCTCAACTTAAGAATTGTGTTTAGTCTCATTGCTGAACACTGTATTTATGTGAATGTTGTATTATTTGTTTTCTGTATATTAGGTACGGCAGTATCGAAATGAGATTTTTCACTCAAGCAATATGGAGTTAGAGGAGAGTAAGGCTAATTGTTATATTGATGACATGATAGCTGTTCTACAAGATGGTAAGGAGCTTGTACATCGACAAGATGCACAACAAGCTGTTGTGAAACTCCAAGATGTGAGTGTATATAATAAACTTATCATATCAGTATGAAATCTTTATAAATTTCTGTTATAAAAATGTAAGATAAGCTCACCTCTAAATTCAGGATAAATTTAGGGAAATTAGAAACAGAAAAAATTTGTAAAGTTTGATAAATAAGAGACATTTACAACACAGTCTGAAAGCTGGTTTTGAAAATCCATAGGATAAGAAGTTAAAGCAAAGGAACAGTTAAGATAAATATGCAAAAAAAAGATCCCAACTTATACAGTTTGTCACATAGAAGATTAAAATGATACTGTAAATCACAAAGCTGTATTTTGTCTATATAAAATGTAACAAAACTGATTCTTTTTCATCAGTTGAAGAAGAAAAATTTCATTATTACCACTGAAGGCTTTGAAGATATCCTGAGAGAAATCAAAGACGAAATGTCAAAAGTTCTAAAATCAACAGAAAATTCTGCAACTAAAGATGAATATGATGATCTGAAGAAGAAGCTAATAGAACTTGAAACCAAAATGTCTGACGAACAGAAGGGAAAACTGGAAAATGAAAAAGAACTTGCAGAACTAAAGAAAACAATTACTGACCTGAAGAAGAAGCTATTAGAACTTGAAACCAAAATGTCCAAAGTAAACGACGAAAATCTTGAGAATGCAGAATTGAAAAAGAAACTTGGAGTCTTGGAGACTCTTGTTTCAGAACAGAAAGAGGTAAAACAAATTTCCTTCTGTTTGTTAACTAAATGATGTATGTTACACCTGTATTTGCATCTTTGCATTAAAGAAGATAAAGATAGTATGTTAATTGTAAAGAATAAACTTTATAATTTAAGTTCTTGTGGCAAAAGTATTAAATCTTAGTATCTAGCCAATTAACTGGAAAGGCAACCAGATTCATCCCATGTACAATGGGTATGAAGTGTATATAGCTAATAATATCTGCTGCAAAAAATATTGTTTGAATTTTTATTTAACATAACATCATTCTTAAAAGGTTTAATGTAAGCTGTGCAGGCTTATGGTGAAGGTCACACTTAAAGGTTAAATGTTAGATATGCTTGCTCATGGTGAAGGTCACACTTAAAGGTTAAATGTTAGATATGCTTGCTCATGGTGAAGGTCACACTTAAAGGTTAAATGTAAGCTGTGAATATCACACTTAAAGAGTAAACGTTCTTGCTTATGGTGAAGGTCAGCTTAAAGGTTAAATAATAGCTGGGTTTCCTTATGGTGAAAGTCACACTTACAAGGTAAATCAGATAGAAATGCTTGCTCATGGTGAAGATCACTCTTAAAAGTTAAATGTAAGCTGTACTTGCTCATGTTGAAGGTCACACTTAAAGGTTAAATGTAAGCTCTATTGGCTCATGTTGAAGGTCACACTTAAAGGTTAAATGTAAGCTGTGCTTACTCATGTTGAAGGTCACACTTAAAGGTTAAATGTAAGCTCTATTGGCTCATGTTGAAGATCACACTTAAAGGTTAAATGTAAGCTCTATTGGCTCATGTTGAAGGTCACACTTAAAGGTTAAATGTAAGCTGTGCTGACTCATGTTGAAGGTCACACTTAAAGGTTAAATGTAAGCTCTATTGGCTCATGTTGAAGGTCACACTTAAAGGTTAAATGTAAGCTGTGCTTTCTCATGTTGAAGATCACACTTAAAGGTTAAATTTATCCTGCTACTGTCTATATCATCAGCTAGATAAAGCCTTGCCGGATATACTTATCTATCTCCAGTCATTACGTCACATGATGACGTCACATGTTTAGCAGCGAAACAAAACTGCATATAGATGCTTTTTTATCGGGGAAAAAGAAGAATGAAACCATTTAATTATTCTAAAAAGTGATTAAAAAGCAGGATAAATCAAATACATGGTTGATGTCGGGATGGAGAAGGTTTATCCGGTTCGCTGCGAAAGTGAATCTTGGCTTGCTAAAGTTCGCCAAGATACACTTTCTCGCTCACTGGATAAGCCTTCTGCATCCCGACATCAATCATGTATTTTCTATGTAAACTCTAAAGGCTCATGTTGAAGATCACACTTAAAGATTAAATACTAGAATATATATCATGTCTGCTATGTTAATTCTTACCCATTGAAGGATTTTTGTGTCGCCTCTACGGAGTAGTGGAGACATATAGGGATCACTTCTCCGTTGTCCGTCTGTCTGTCCGTCTGTCTGTCTGTCTGTCTGTCCGTCCGTCTGTCCGTCCGTCCGTCACAAAACTTGTCCGGACTACTGCTCATAAACTACTGGTGCAATTTCATCCAAACTTTACAGGAATGATCAGTACCAAGTCTAGTTGTGCATATTGTCAGCATTTTCCGGTTCAGTGATTTTTGTCAGAGTTATGGCCCTTTAATAATTTTTATTTTTAAAGTTTGTCCGGACAACTTCTCTTATACCACTAATGCAATTTCAATGAAACTTTACAGGATTGATCTGTAGCTCAAGTCCTTGCGCATATTGCACGGGTTTTCCGGTTGAATGATTTTTGGCCGAGTTATGGCCCTTTGACAAAAAGGTGTTTTTTTCTGTGTGTTGCCAGATACACAAAAGCTTGTCCGGACTACTCCTCATAAACTACAGGTGCAATTTCATGCAAACTTTACAGGAATGATCAGTACCAAGTCTAGTTGTGCATATTGTCAGCATTTTCCGGTTCAATGATTTTTGTCAGAGTTATGGCCCTTTAATAATTTTTAATTTTAAAGTTTGTCCGGACTACTTCTCTTATACCACTAATGCAATTTCAATGAAACTTTACAGGATTGATCTGTAGCTCAAGTCCTTGGGCATATTGCATGGGTTTTCCGGTTGAATGATTTTTGGCCGAGTTATGGCCCTTTGATAAAAAGGTCTTTTTTTCTGTGTGTTGCCAGATACGCAAAAGCTTGTCCGGACTACTCCTCATAAATTACTGGTGCAATTTTATCCAAACTTTACAGGAATGATCAGTACCAAGTCTAGTTGTGCACTGTCCATCTGTCTGTCTGTCTGTCTGTCTGTCTGTCACAAAATTTGTCCCAACATGAAATTGGCCATCATGAGGCGACACATGTGATTACTGATCGCTCTTGTCTTCAATCTTTGATCAGTTTATACAATTCAGCACTGAGAAGCGTTGACATGTTATAGAATAAGGTATAGAACTATGAACTTTGATTATCATGTTGATAATTCGGCTTTAAATCTGTACCACTTAGGAACACAATCTGAGTGTTTAAACAAAATTATTCTTTCTCACCTGATGGCCTACTTAGCATAAGTGATTAAATGGGGCAATTATGGTGGTTATTATGCTAATGTATATAGTTACATGTACAAAATCAAGTACATACTCTTATGAATTTATATTTACATCTTAATTATATATTGTTGATTATTTTTGTACTATAATAATTTTTGAGTAAAGAAGATGATTTGTTTTTGTAGGAGATGGCAAATATTAAGACAGAAACTTCCTCAGGTCAAAGTCAGGCAGAGTATGATCAAGCCAAGTTAGGTGAGTTAATATTTGTTTTGATGGTGTACATACAAGTGTTATGATAGTGCCATCAATATAAAACCAAAAAAAAGCAAGGCAATGTGCTGAACCAATGCCACTGCCTTACCAGGTTAAGGTCACCCTTGGTCTATAAGTGTATTTTTACCCTTTTAAGATCTTGTCTTGAGATAATCTTGTTATGTTTAAATTATTTGTAAGTTTTGCTGATTTTATTGATTGCTCAATAAATTTCAGGTTGTCGTACTCAATTGATAGAACATTATCGCAGTGATGTACTTAAAGTATCAGCAATACCTTTACAACCAGATGAGGAAAATTATAACTTCAGTGACGTTTATATAAGACCCACTATAACAAACAAGATAGAAAAGAACAGAGGGGAGTCTGAGGAAAATGAAATACAGTCCATGTCAGAGATTTTCACAAAGAATGGGGATCCACAGAAATTTATTTACGTTGTTGGAGATGCAGGGTCTGGTAAGAGTAGTTTCTGTAAATATTTGATCAACTGTTGGTGTATGGCACACAGTGATGGACACAATGACGATGATGAATTTGATGGAGTCAAGGAAATGAAGAAATTTGATTTCATGTTTTATATTTCTCTTAGACATAACATTAAGATCCGAAGTGTCAAAGAAATGCTTGAAATGCGATATGATAAGATAAAAAATTTAAGTAAAATTCTGGAAAATGATTCTGAAAAGATAATTATTTTGCTTGATGGTTTAGATGAATGGTCTTTTGACAGTGAGACTAGGAATGAGTTCCAGGCAGGCCTTCCTGAACGTGACTTTACAAAGAAATACACAATTGTTACTACATCACGGCCATGGAAAATTCACAGTTTGAGAGTAAGTAATAGAGAGATTCATCAATTATTGAAATTAAAAGGGTTTGATGAAACACATGAAAAAGAAATGATTGAGAAAACAATAACAGCATTGAACGAATCATTAGATCCAAGTGTGTGTGAAAAAGAGCTTGGGATACCGTCTGTGGTTGGCCTGAAACAGGTACCAATTATGCTGCAGCAATTAATATGTCTATGGTGTGATGGTAAACTAGATAAAACATCAAGGTGTGCTATTTATACTGGTATGTTAGAACTTTATTTCACCTGGAATATCAATAAAACTTTATGCAATAATACAGAATGTATGGAAAGTTCTCAGAATGTTGAACTCCCTCAGTATTTAACAGATGTAGAGATATGTAGATTAAATAGTAATCTTATATATGGTGTGTCACGCTTGGCTTATCAGACACTGTTCAATTATCCAAAGGATAAGTCCTTAACATTTGACAAATCTGTTTTTGATGATTTGAAAATATCACATGAAGTGCGTGAAAATTGTCTGAAACTGGGGATTTTGACAGAAGAAAAATGTCCTTCTCTATCTGTATCCAAGCCTAAAAGCTCATTGTTCTCTTTCATTCACAAATCAATGCAAGAATTTCTGGCTGCAGTGAACATTGGTATCAATTTTAAGATAAGAATAAGTTTGTCAGATAGTACACAAACAGAAAATGTTGATTTGCAAAGCCAGTGCATTCAGTTTGTTAATGAGGCTTTTCAGAAATGTTCAACAGTAAATGACATATTAGAGCAGTCAAATGTTGTCATAATGCTATGTGGTCTTGAACCTAGATTAGCAACACATGTTTCAAAATACATATATGATACTGTGTCAAAAGACTCTCGTGTTCAGGAATACAGGAGAACAATAAATAGGAAGTGGGATATGAATCATTGTTGTATTACTGATATTCAAAAGCTTATGTTTGAGTCGATGGAAGAATTAAATGCAACTTGTAGTATAGGAAGTAATACTGTAATTTATATAGGAGATATTGCCATGGATAGTCGGAATCAGTATTGTGATATTGTTTGTACAGGTATTGATCAGAAACAAATTGCTCCTGATTCTGTTCTGTCTATTTATGTAGATGACATCTACACAGAAAATGTTAAATTTACAAAATATTTACCAATGTTTCATCATCTTGAAAAAATTGCAATAATATATGAAACTGAATTACAAAGGTTTTTAAGAACACAAAGTGATAGTACACCGAGAAATAAACAGATGATTGATGAGGTAGACAATTTTGTTTCTGAGACAATTAAAGTAAACACTTTAACATTAAAATCCCTGATGCTTGAAGGTACCAATTACACCGACAAGCAGTGTTACCCTGTGTATAAAAATGCTGTAAGTTATCTACCTAGTATGATCAATCTTGTAGCAATAAGTATGAGTTTTATAACAATAAGTCATGATGATACAGCTACATTCTGTAATTTTCTTGAGAGAACCAGTCATCTTGAACAAATACATCTTGAGAATTTTGAATGTGTGTGTATAAAGCAGCATGATGTAAATTTATCAAAACATCAAAAACTTCAGTACCTTGATTTATGTAAGACTGTTAGTGTGATAGATGCTGATACTACAAGCCTTGAAATATTTATATTTGATAAATTGAAAATTAGTAATTATGATAAAATATTTGATATTATAAGAAAATCTAACAAATTAAAAAAGCTTGTATTGCAAGGAGATTATAGCAATGAATCTCAATTATATCATACCAACATAACAAAGAGACTAGTTACAGTATTACCATTGTTACACAATCTCAGTAAGCTTGACTTATATTGGTGTAGGTTTACTGACAATATAATACAGTTACCTTTAGAGATGAAGAGTTTAAAGCGCATTAGGCTTAGTAATGTCATAATGAGTTTGACAACATGGCAGAAGTTTGTTGATAGTCTTCCTATGTTTCCTCATACTGTAGATGTGTTTGTAGGTCAAGGTTATATAACAGGAGATGGTGAGGAGTTTGATGTTGATCGGTCAATATGGATATTACAAGAACTTAACGGAGGTAAGGGAAGGGATGCTGAACAATATGTAAAAGATAAGGATGAGTTATTTCATGTTAAAGATGATGATTTTTGGTTTGAATTTTCAACAAAAAAGGGATAAAGTATCCAAGTACATGTTGTTAACATAGCAACTAAATTATTGCATGTTAAAAGAGATGATAAATGTGTTGTTGTTGTTGTTGTTTTTCTAAATGTTTTGAAATTTTAACATAGAAGAGACATTCAAATTTTCAATAAAAAAGTGATGAATTATCCATGTAGTTACAAATTGTTTGAAATTAAAGTTGTTGTTGTTGTTTCTTTTTTCATTTTCAACAGAAAAATAATGTTTAAATTTTTAACATAGTGAGAGAGAATACATGCGGTTAACAAAGTGTTTAATCTTACTTATTTAATTTTAAAATTTGTTTCTTTATAGTTTCATCAAAAAATGTGATACTAAAAACAAGTAATTAATATCTTGTTGTAAAGCAACATGATAAATATAATGCATTATGATAACAATCACCAAAAAACAGTTCATTAAATATTGATTTCTGGTCATGTTACAAAAGTATTTATAATATTGAAATTGAAGAAAATAATATTCAAATTGTGTTTATAAATAAATAAATGAATTAAATGCAGTGAAATATAATAGATATATTGATCTTAATAAGGGTAAAGCTTAAGGGCTCACCCGGCAGCCATGTATTATGAACTCAATTATTATCATATGTTTATGTTAATATAATGGTATCATTAAGATTAAAGTTTAGGTGTTTTTTGAAATTTCATGGAAAAGGTCTAGATTTACTTAGCTGATTACAATTTTTGAGTATTACTTATTAATTAATTGTTAATGATTATTAATAGTTGTATTGCTTACCGGCTGATGAAACTTTTTATCACGGTTTTTATACCATGTAAACATATGTGACACATATTTGTAATCATGAACTGTTGATTGAATGTATCCTGTTCATATGTTATTAAATGTTTATGTCTATAAGAATTTATACATGCTTGTGTAACTATACATACATTTTAAACAGTTGTATCTGTTCGATTTAAAAGCCCATTAAGCCTTAAAAAATGCAATCACTTTCATTTTACAAAAGCTTTTATCTTTGTGTCTAAAATATTACTCATTGGCCATATATGTGAGCCATCTTTTGTTGCTGTTTTTTTTTTTTAAAGCATTTTACCAACTAGTACAGTTATGATAAATAAGTATTTTATGTGGAAGTAAAATAAGCATTTTGTTTACATTTTTAGCTCGACTTTTCTATGAAAAGGGGAGCTATCCTACTCGCCCCGGCGTCGGCGTCGGCGTCGGCGTCACACCTTGGTTAAGTTTTTCGTACCACCCCACTTTATTTCAGAAGTATTACAAGTATGGCTTTGAAACTTACCATACTTGTTCACCATCATAACCTCCATCTACAGACAAGAGTACATAACTCTGTCAAGGTTTTTGACAGAATTATGGCCCTTTTTTGACTTAGAAAGTGTATTGAGCTTGGTTAAGTTTTTTGTACCACCTCACTTTATTTCAAAACCATTGGAGGTATTGCTTTGAAACTGACCATACTTGTTTACCATCACGACCTTCATCAACAGACAGAGAACATAACTCTGTCAAGGTTTTTGACAGAATTATGCCCCTTTTTGACTTAGAAAATACATTGAATATGGGTAAAATCCACTTATTGCCTTAACCCTTTGAGATATTGCTTTGAAACTTTTAATGCTATTTCACATCATTACCCCCATCTGTACGCAAGAGAAGGTAACTCTGTCAAGGATTTGTTTTAAAAATTAAGGCCTTTTATCGACTTAGAATCTTGGTTAAGTTTTTAGTACCAGTCCACTTTTTGACTGAACTGTTTGAGATATTAATTTGAAAGTTGGAATACTTGTTTACAATCATGATTCCCAAACATGTCCAGGAGAAGGTAATTCTGTCAAAGATTTTATTTGAATTATGGCCCTTAACTGTCAATGTTTTTATTATAGGCAAGCACTAAAAAACTGGTAAAAAATCTAAAAAAATTCATTCCTATCCACTGAACCTGCAGTGTTCAAGGGTATCACACAATTCAGTAAAATAATTCTTCACTAAATATCTTAATGCTCATGGCCATTGTTCACTTTAAAAATACAGAGATTCTTGTATTGCCTTTTACTGCAAAAACTTTTTTTATTGGCAAGCAATAAAAAAGTCGAGCGCGCTGTCTTACGGACAGCTCTTGTTGCTACACTAATCATACTTTCTTTTCAAACTCATTTTGCCAGGCGATCAGAATATCACATGTTGTATATCTATTATTACAAATGCATATTTGCCCTTTTTACAAAAATAAATATCTATTCATTTATGAGGTGTAATGTGCCTTTAAACTTTAATTGTATTCATGTAGTATAAGCATTAACATTTAATTAAATGAAGATATTGTTAATTTTTAACTAGGTACATGTACTAGTACATGTAGTATATGAATCTTTATGTTTATTTCATGCTTAGATATGTTATGTCTTATGAACACATGCATCAAACATGTTTGTTTGTGACTTGGAATATAGATTTTATAATTCTAGTATATTTGTCAACATACAATTTACATGTACTAATAACATATTTATATTGACCATATTTATGCTAAAACAATTCTATATATTATGTAATGATAAGTTCATGCTGGAATATGTTATGTCAATTATACATTATATGTTAACTATGTCTGTTTAATGGATATTGTATGATTAAATCCAATAAGTACATTTGTAAACCTTAAATTACATGTACATGATAACAAATCTTTATCGTCCATGGGAATGCTTAAACAATTCTATATGAAGTTAAGATAAGTTCATTCTGGAATATGTATACATATACATATATATTATACAGGACTGTTAAAAACTTGAAATGTTTATTCAGTATAAGATCTTCTCATGGAAGCTTATTTGAGAGCATTGTTTTTGTGCCCCCACGTTAGTGGCGGGCATTTAGATTTACTCTTGTCCGTCCGTCCGTCCGTCTGTCCGTCCGTCCTTCCGTCCGTCCGTTCACTTTTGTGTCGCACGTAACTCAAAAAGTATTTGACCTAGACTCATGAAACTTTACAGGAATGTTGATCAGCATGTGTAGTTGTGCACCTGGGTATTTTCGTCTGGATATTTTTAGTATTTTCAGAGTTATTGCCCTTGACTTAGTTAAATTTTGCAATTTTCAACTTGTGTCGCATGTAACTCAAAAAGTATTTGACCTAGAGTCATGAAACTTTACAGGAATGTTGATCAGCATGTGTAGTTGTGCACCTGGGTATTTTCGTTTGGAAATTCTTAGTATTTTCAGAGTTATTGCCCTTGACTTAGTAAAATTTTGCAATTTTCAACTTGTGTCGCATGTAACTCAAAAAGTATTTGACCTAGAGTCATGAAACTTTACAGGAATATTGATCAGCATGTGTAGTTGTGCACCTGGGTATTTTCGTCTGGATATTCTTAGTATTTTCAGAGTTATTGCCCTTGACTTAGTAAAATTTTGCAATTTTCAACTTGTGTCGCACGTAACTCAAAAAGTATTTGACCTAGAGTCATGAAACTTTACAGGAATGTTGATCAGCATGTGTAGTTGTGCACCTGGGTATTTTCGTCTGGATATTTTTAGTATTTTCAGAGTTATTGCCCTTGAGTTAGTAAAATTTGGCAATTTTCAACATGTGTCGCAGGTAACTCAAAAATATTTGACCTAGAGTCATGAAACTTTACAGGAATATTGATTAGCATGTGCAGTTGTGCACCAGGTATTTTCGTCTGGATTTATTTAGTATTTTTAGAGTTATTGCCCTTCACTTAGAAAATTTTTGCAATTTTCAACTTGTGTCGCAAGTTTCTCAAAAAGGATTTGACATAGTCATTAAACCTTATAGGCAGGTTGCTCAGCATATTTTAGATTTGCACCTGGGGTTTTGCTTGTGGATTTATCCAGTATTTGTAGAGTTATTTCCCTTGACTTAGTTAAAAGATTGACAGAACAGTGGTGCGGTGGGGGCACCCATGTCCTATGGACACATTACTAGTTTATTAATGTAGTACTTTAAAAAAATTATTACATGTTTGTTTGAATGGTTTTGATTACGGAATGCCGTTAGGGCCATTGCCTATGAATGTGTTGATCTGAAACGCGATAGTCGATAGTACGATGGTGAAAACGCGACAGCACGATACTACGATGATGAAAACGCGATAAACTATCGTGTTTTCACCATCGTACTGTCGCGTTTTCACCATCTTAGTTTCGAGATTTCGCGTTTTCATCATCGTACTGTCGTGTTTTCATCATCGTACTGTCGCGTTTTCACCATCGTAGTTTCGTGATTTAGCGTTTTCATCACCGTACTGTCGTGTTTTCATCATCGTACTATCGCGTTTTCACCATCGTACTATCGCGTTTTAATCATCGTACTGTCGTGTTTTCATCATCGTACTATCGCGTTTTCACCATCGTTCTGCCGTGTTTTCATCATCGTACTATCGCGTTTTCATCAACGTACTATCGCGTTTTGATCATCGTACTATCGCATTTTCACCATCGTAGTTTCGTGATTTCGTGTTTTCACCATCGTACTATCGACTATCGCGTTTCAGATTAACACATTCATAGGCGATGGCCCTAACGGCATTCCGGAATGCCGTTAGGGCCATTGCGTATGAATGGTTTGATCTGAAACGCGATACTCGACAGTACGATGGTGAAAACGCGACAGTACGATTGTGAAAACACGATAGTTTATCGCGTTTTCATCATCGTAGTATCGTACTGTCGCGTTTTCATCATCGTACTATCGCGTTTTCATCATCGTGCTTTCGCGTTTTCACCATCGTAGTTTCGTGATTTCGTGTTTTCACCATCGTACTATCGACTTTCGTGTTTTAGATCAACACATTCATAGGCGATGGCCCTAACGGCATTCCGTATTTGATAGCATGAATGTATGACTTTTCTTAATAAAAGATTTTACAAAATTGATTTGTGAATCATTTGTTTTTCCCTCTCTTACAGAACAAGTTGAGGGTATAAAACTTGTTAAAAGATGACCACATTATATCTCGGGTCATCATCACAAACAGATAAATGGTTTTGGTATATGATCCGCAGATATTGAACACTAAAAAGAGTATTTTCAGAAATAATGACGCTGGGAAAATGTTTCATTTATATTGCGACGTCACGAACGTCATTTTGTTTCATCATCAGCGTGCGCCGGATTGTGCACCCCTTGTGATTTGTAACTGTCACAGAATTGTTATTTGTAAACATATTGTATTGATTTTTTCACTGTTTATTTAGGACATATTTTCATATATGTCTCTTGTAAAATCATATACGCAAATTAAAAGATGTGAACAGTAGAGCCGCAGTCCACAAACTTTTTGAACAACCCTGGTATGACTTTATACAAATTATTTCATTTTTAAGCATGTGATATGATCTGAGTTTTCACCTTACTGCAGTATAGTATATACAATAAAGCTGAATTTTATTCCTTGATCCGGGTGCATTATAAGTAAGCCTGAAAATTTTGCATAAATAACAACAAAATTGTATGAAAATTTACTCGGTTTGCTGGTATGACTCGATTGTGTCGGTGCATGTCGCCTTGCCTTGATCTTTGTTCTCACTTTTAGCTCACCTGTCACAAAGTGACATGGTGAGCTTTTGTGATCGCTTTTCGTCCGTGCCGTCATCCGTCCGTAAACTTTTTTTTTGCACGACATCTCCTCATAAGCCAATTTTATCCAAACTTCACGGGAATGTTCCTTTGGTAGTCAACTTTAAAAATTGTTCAAAGAATTTAATTCCAAGCAGAACTCTGGTTGCCATGGCAACCGAAAGAAAAACTTAAAATGTCTTCTTTTAGAAAACCTAAAAGAGTTAGAGCTTAAATATTTGGCATGAAACATCATCGGGTCAGTGTCTACCAAGTTTGTTCAAATAAATGCCCTGGGGTAAAAATTGGCCCCACCCCGGGGGGTCATTGATTTTTCTTATTTGTATATAGTAAAAACTTAGAAAATCTTCTTTTAAAAAAACAAAATAGCTAGAGCTTAGATATAAAGCAAGAAACATCTTCTAGTGGGTGTCTACCAAGATTGTTCAAATAAAAGCCCTGGGGTAAAAAATTGGCCCTGCCCCACGGGGTCATTGTTTTTCCCTTT